ATAAAGAAGGAGCCAAACCGGAGTTGTTGATTTCTGCATCACAGAATTCTCCTTGTAAATGGCATAAAGCGACACGAGTGGTGCGATTGCATTGCTAAAATTGAACGCTCACATTAAAACGCTTTTGACAAAAATTTCTGCGCAAATGCTTGTTATCCAATAGCACTGATGACAGGCACGGCGCAGTGGCTTGAAGCGCTGCTCCCGTGCTAAAGTTCGAGGGCTTTGATCCCCACCCTCTGAGCCAACCAATTCCTCCACAACCAGTTCATCCGGTTCGGTAGTAAATTGGTTTCGATGCATGTTAGAGGCCTCAGCCTCCGTACTTCAGCCTCTTAGAGAAAATGAAATGTTTGGTATGTCTTCATTTTATCATAAATCATCTGGAACATTATTTAAAATGTCCTCCGCATGCTGCGTTCGGCCAAGTGTTTACAGCTAAGGGATGAAATACGATACTTAGACTGACCGCTCATATTATTCTATTATTTCCTGGGAGAGGGCGACATTCTTACCTATAAGTTTCGCGGTAGCATTTTTTTATTACCAAAAACAGTGGTGGAACTGCTGAAATGCAATTTTTCTCGAGTGACTCAAGCAACAAGCCACCTTTAGTACGAACTTCCAGCTTGCTTCTAAATGCCAGCACCAGTGCAGCACCTAAACGAAACAGCAGATTCTAGTGAGGCATCTTGAACAAGGCGTCCAAGCTTCAAGGTGACCATTGCACCATTTCACTGGCACTGAGATTCATAAAGTGGATAATAAGACCATAATTCAAATCAAATTTCCCACTGTTTCAGAGATCAGTTTGTAAAACGTGAAAGAACTGATAAATTCAGTTCAGTCCTGTGTTACGGAAAGCAGTGACGGGTGCGGAGCGCACAGGAAAGTAGAACGTCGACATTTTTTTAAAATTTCAACTCACTACTAACGAAAAAAACCCGTAACTTTACTGATTCAGACAAGAATCACTGTTCGAAATTTGTTGCGCATTTAAAAAGTAGAGCTGGCAGAAGAATTCTTTATTCATTTTGCCAGATGTAAATGCAAATGCAACCAATGATCTCACCTAACATCGTTGCCACCATGCGCAAAACCAGCAAAACAAGCGGTCAGCACTTGTAGAAAACTGAACAAACGGGATGCCTGCGGATCCTCCGGCTTTGAAGAACGAAAAAATGTTTCAATTGTTCTGCTGGGCTGTACTGTATTGGAGCCCAAGCCATAATGTCCATCAGCAGTAGCTGTTTGTTGCGGTGCAGCAACTACTCCAACCACCGCATTACTACCACTGCCCAGATCCGTAGATGTTTCGGCTAAAGGCTGTTCGCTGGTCACTCCAATCTCTAGCGCCAAGTGTTTCCCATTTTCGTAATGCAACAATGATCGGGTACCTAAAACAGTCCCATGCAATACAACAACTGCACTCAAATTAATACTCAAATAAAGGAGATAAGCCAGAACGTAACAAATAAACAGGATTTTGCGTTAGATTTGAGCGAATAGTGTGAAAAATTTTAGTATTAAAAATTAATCGAAGCTGAAGGAAATCAAAAAAAGGTTAGAAACTGCAACGAAGGCGATCTTTTGCAGTTACGCTCTCACTGCCAAAAAACTATAGCTGTAAGCTCTCAACGCTTCCATAAAAACAGATTCAGCTCAGAAACGCCTACGTTCTGATGGTTATTTCTGTAACAGATGGAAACTGACAAAACAGTTCTAAAATACCCAAAATGTTTGGAAAAAATGTTCTAAACAAAAAATTGCTTGTAAAAATGCACAGAAATATAACATAACTATAAAAGATGTACTGTGACAAACGAGGTTCCCGTGAAGAGGTAACGTGACGAGCCTTAGAAGACACGCACAATTACGTTTTTGCAATGAGTAGCTGCAAGTGGATTACGCGCAACTTCTCATCAGTTCTCACAGTGTGCGAAAAGCATATAAAGTTCGGATTCGTGGTTTAGCTTTTGTTTAAAGATATAGTAATGGTTCAGAAAAACCGCACAGTTTGAAAGCTTACTTTATGCCATTCATTGTGTCTTTGTGCAGTCACAAGTGATTAAAAAAATTTGAAAATTTAGCTTTTTCTGTCCTGAATTTAAAAGTTCATCCTCAATTTTAACTTAAGCTTAGCGGTTCGAAAAAAGCAAGAAATTTGAAAATTTAGCTAGCCCTTTTTTGCATTTGCAAAGCGGGCCTCATTTCAGAACTGAGATCAGTGGTCGGGAAAGAGCACGTTTTGAAACCTGTTTTAAAGTTGTTTGTCCTAAAAAAATTTAATAAATCAATCA